TTTTTTTACCAAGGCACCAGCAAGTTTTATTTTGCAAGAACAATTTAGCCTGGGGATCAGTCTGCTGAGTCTGTCCTGCCTTGATTCCATCATCCTGGGGGACTTTTTCAAGGAGGAAAAAAAAAAAAAAAGTTGTTTTAGCAAAATGAGTGAAAAGCAGAATCCAGAGTAGGCATTGTAAGGGTAGTCGTGGCAAGAAGTGGATTTTCATCAGATTTGGGGAACTGAGGTCTCAAGTCTGTAGCTGGAAGTGAAGGCTTTACTTTTGTCTCTGGAGAATGGAAGGTTTCTGGAGGAGATGGAGGTTATGAAAAAACAAAAATGGACGGACAGAAGTCATCCCAGGCCAGTCAAACACACACCTCCCTTCCACTGACTGTGACAATAGTCTGGGCTTCTGGGTGGGATGTAAACATTTTGTGCACAGACAAAATAGCTCAGGTGCCCACAATCTGCAGATTAATTCCATTCTCCTGGTTTGACTCAGCTGCCAAAGCCCAGGGGTATAAGATACACACAGATGAGGTTTGATCTTGCAGATCAAATAGATCACATACAGATAAGATTTGATCTCTGGCAGCCTTGGGACTGAGCAGAAATCTGTTTAATCAGCTGGACTGAAGTGTTCTGCCCCAAGTTACCAGTTTTAAGAAAAGCTGCTGAAGGGAGTGTGTGATTACTGCCTGGACTGGTCTTCTTGTTCTATTACCCACCAGAAGTGCCTAAAGATGAGAGAAATACTGCTGCTGGCACCATCTCCCTGAAAATACACACATTTTGTTCTGTTCATAGATATTTCTCTTTGTTTAACACCAGCTCCACAGAGAGGAGCCTGTAAAGGCTTATATTATACAGTAGGTTTGTGCATAGGTGTGAATAATAACAGATTTTTGGGTTATTCCAACCCCAAATTATCAAGACTGACTTTATTGATGCTGTTGCCTGTTTTAGGTGCCACTGATTCCTTTAGTGGCTGAGCCTCAGTGTGCTAAATTCAAAATACTCCACAGAAAGGCAGAAAGTTTATTAGGAAGCTCCCTGTTTCTGCCCAAGGAGTTTGGGTTTCTCTTGTGCCATTTTCAGCTCAGGCTTCCACAGGTCTTCCAACTCAGGGAAACAAACATTTGGTGTAAGAAATCATCACCTCTTCACATAAAACAAAAAATAACTTCTGTGAACAAAAAAATCTTTCCACTTTAAAGGCTTTTAACTACTGCCAGAGAGAGAATATTGAGGTAGGTGGCCCTTGTCCTCACACAGTGGATGTTTGCATGTTCTGCAGCTAGACAGCAGTTGCAAAAGTAAATAAGAAATATGTTATTCTATTCAAAACAGACATTGGTAGGTAATGCTCCTTTTCAGTGCTCTGCCCTTCAGAGAGACGCTTGTCACTGATGCAGCCAAATTGCCTGAAAGCATTCTGTAAACTCTCAGATTATTATGTTGAAATACAAAAATTGGTGCTTTACAGCCTTTTAGATACCCCAGTAGTAGATGAATTAAGGTACGTATTTTAAAAATGGTGATTAATGTCAGAACTTCAAAATGTATCTGAGAATGAGCAGTTCTGGAGAATTTAAACGCTGAGTGTACAGTGACCTTGAACACTTCCCTAAGCCTTGAGGTTCTCCCTTTAAAACTGCTTCCCAGCTTCTTTGTGTGCCTGTCCAGGGAGATAGCAGATTCATAAACTGCAGTAATTGAAACCAGTGTGAATTTCTTGAGTATGACTAATCTTTACCATTCCTTACCAAAAAAAAAAAAAAAAAAAAAATCGCCTAGTCCCAGCCAAGACTTTATTAATTTTAATATGAAAACATCCACACCTATCATGTCTCCCCTGAGGTCCTCCCAGGCCAGTGCAGTAATGGAGTCTGACTTCTATTGCTTTGGCTAGAGGCTGAGGATGTGAATTCCTCTGGCTAATTGCCTTTTGGATAACCTACAAAGCACCAGGGGTCGGATTCTTGGCCTGGTAACTTTGCCTTGGCTCAGTGCCCCCATTCCCATCGTGGGGAATCCCAGGAGGAGAGTGGCACCAGGTCGTTCCTCACAATCTCTGCCTTTTAACAAATCTAAAAATGCCACCATCTTGGGCAAATCCCTCCCCCCGCCCCCTTCAAAAAAAAACCCAAAACTGTGTGATGATCTTTAGCCATGCCTGTGACACGTGGGATTGTCCAGCTGGACCCTGAGGGAAAGGAAAAACAGAATTCCAGGTCAGCACCGGCCTGCCTCTCACCCTGCCTGTGTGACGCTACCACATCCTTCGTGCTGAAATTATTTGCTGTGGAAATCATCCCCAGGTGGTGCTGCGTGGAGGAGTTTTCCCCCCATCAGTGTCGGGAAGGAAAGGGAGGCACGTGTGGAGCTTGTTATCCGTGTTACCGGGAGGTGAAATATCCCTCACTCCTCGGCAGGGCCTGTGCACACACTGCTTGGAACAGAAGGGGCTGCTGTGCCCAAGAAAGGCCCTGTGGCTGCTTCCTGTCACAAAAAAAAAAGGGCAGATTTGTGGCTAGAAGTCAAAATAAGCTTCTAAGGCTGATCTGTAGAGCCCCTGTGGGCTTTCCCTCACTTACAGAGGTTTTGCCTCCACGCTGCAGATGGAGATGGGAATAATGTGAGATGCTCCCACAGACCTTGCCTTCCCAATCAAATCTCTGTTGCTAAACAGACTATGTCTAAATCAATAAAAATCATTAATAAAAAAGAACTGTCAGAAGTTAGCCAATAGCCAAAAAGGAAAAAAAAAAATTAAAAAAAAAAAAAAAAAAAGCCACCCCAGACCCCAAACCTAGAGGATTTTGCAGTCTGAGAGGGAACACAGGGTGTGGGGTTGTGAGGGACAGGGCAGGGTGGGTCACACTAATGTCCCCTGCAGCCCCAGGCAGCCAGGCCAGCGGTGACACCGTGCAGGAGTCAGGCCTTGGAGTGGCTGCCTGGAGCAGAGCTGGACAAGATTAATACAATAAAGTGGGTATTTATTAAAGACCTTCAATAGGTGCAGCTTGGGCAGTCAGGAGCCTCCCAGAGGCCGCACCCAAGGTGGACGATGGTCATGAGTTTTTCACACAATTATAAGTTTGGTCCATTTGCATATCAGGGGTTAATCCTCCAATTCCAACTTTAAGTAATGAAGTAATTTACCGCCCAGTTTGCTCCCCCCTAATTCACTTTTGTTTATACTTCCAGGGCCTGAGACTGTAGGGTGCCCTTGAGTTTCAGGCCCAGAGGAATTATCTTGTTTGACCAAAATCTGAAGACAGGAACTAACATTGTATATGGAGCTTAGAGTTATCCACTGATGCAACACAGGATCTGAAAAATATAAATGCTTAAATCTTAAGGCATCAGAAGGAGCACCCAGCTGGCCTGGAGTGACCCTCCCTGAGCCCAGGCTGGGGCTGATGTGCTCTAGAGGGAGCCACATCTGTCCTTGCTGTCCCAGATGGAGGTCACCATCCTCCCAGGCTTTCCAGGAAAGAGGGAGTGGCTGAGGCTGGAGTTACTGAGCGTGGACCACCTGGGAAAGAGAGTGCAGCCAGCACTTGTCCTGCCTCTAGGCACTCCACAGGAAGGATTAAGGGATGCTGAGTTGGTTTTGAGCTCCCACCCAAGCTGGCTGTGAAGAAATGGAAGGGCAGGCAAGTAAACGTGCATGTTCTGATATGGAAAAATGGCAATAGCATTTCTGCATTTCAGTCTCCAGCAGAGGTTGGTTCGGGTTACAGCGTTTAGATCTGGACTTGGAGCACTTCAGGGCTGGTGTCTGTTTGGGGTTAGGGGACTGCTTTCAGAACTCACACCTAGACCCTGGTTTTGACGGAGTACTCTGTAAATTTTATGCGTTTCTATCTCTGATGGAGAAAAAAAAAGGAGGAAATATTTATCTCTGTGCATTTGAGAAAAAAAAAATCATATTAATAATGCCACCACTATTTGATATGGGAGGGGGGAATCCTACTCTCTTTAAAGGCAAAGTTGGGAAATAGCTCCCTTTTATTTCAAGGGATCAGATTTACAAAAACCACAGCCACAAAACACAACAGCAGCCCAAACCCTCCACACAAAACCTCTTGTATTTTATGCCTCCTTTTCTATTTCAGGTCCTCATTTGCCTAATTACTTCTCAGAGGCTGGCAGAGATTTTCCCTGCAGCGCTGAGCTCTGCTGACTGCAGAGACCCTACCTGGCACACTCAGTCAGTGCGTCAGCATTCTAGGTGGAAATGAATGAAAAATCAATCAGGGCAACTGCAGTGGTAGCATATTCAACTCTAACCTACTTTGTGCATGGTTTCAAACATTTCATTGTGTGTTCAGGCGTTTTTTGTTTAAAATGGTAAGTGGATCTGAAGTAGAATTGATCTTCCTTAGTCAGACTAATAAATGTTTTGTCATCTTTACTGCTTAGCTCGGGCAAATTTGCCACCCTGACCGCTAAGTTAAGCTGCAGACTTGATTGAAATGCCAAAACCCAGAAGAAGATTGTTTTAATCTTGAAAAACTATCACCAGCAGATTGCATCATGCAGTGGATATAGATACAGTGATAGAGCTTTGATTGTTTTAATTGTATTTGCGGAGCAGATCTAGAGTAGGTCTGGAAAATCAAAAGTACACCAGAACCTCTTTTGAAACACAGGTACTGCTTGTGTGTGGTCTTGCAAGGAGTTTGCCTTAGGAATATTGGTCTGTGCACTTTCTTTTTTTTTTTTTTTTTTTTTTTTTTCTGGTTGCATTTCTGTATAAGCAGAGTTAAATATGGATTGCCAGTTTCACGTAGTTAAAGTCCACAATAAAGTGGTCCAATATTCATGCCTAAAAAATTAGCAGCTGTTGTAACTTCTGCCAGCTGAGTGGGTTCAATACATTAATAAAAAAAACAATCCAAACCCTCATAAGATCACTGCTCTAACAAGTTGTGCAGTGCAACACTGTAAAAGGTTCCAAAAAAAAAAAAAATTCACAATCCTCTTTGCTTGTGGTGCCCTTACAGTGAAGGAGATTCTTTTGGCTGTAAAGATGAAGACTCTACTTTTTCTGGTGCTGATCTCTGCCTGTTGGGCTGAACCTCACCCTGGCAACTCCAGTCAGGAGCATGAAAGAATTGTTCACATTCAAGGTAAGGAAATAAGTGAGAAAATACCAATATCTTCATATTGCTGAGGGAAACAGAATAATGTGCTTAATTATTCTTAATTTACTTTTTATTTTTTTAATGCTGTCACACTGTTTTTTAAATACTTGTATTACTGGTGACCAAATGTTCTCTTTTCTGGTTCTATTGCACTATTGTTTCTCCTAAGAAAAGCCAAAAAAAGAAAGTTGCACTGTTTAACAGCACTTAGTCACAACCTTGCAAAGGTTGGTGAGTAAAGTACAGCATGATTTAAGGCAAAGAGGAAAAGCATGCATCCTAAAGTAATAAACAACTGCAGTGGGTTGAAATACTTCAGTTTATTGTAGAATAGATTTGATTTTAAGAGGTCTGCCATACACAGTTCTCCACAGCACAGATATTTATTGCTCTGGTTTATTTTAAAAAGCTCAGCACATCAGAGATCATAACTGGGCAATGTAAACTGGTTAAAAAAAAAAAAAAAAAAAAGTAACTTACCCTGAAAGAAATGTGCCTTTCCTCATACCTTTAATTCACACTAAATATTATCCTGGCCTTCTGCAGAATCCTGTTTGGTTCATGTTTGAGTCCCAGAGATTGTAGCTGTGGCAGGATTTGAGCCTGCAGCACAATGCAGCTGTTTTTCCAGTCCCAGCTTCAGTCATTGAGGGTTATCCTGCATAAAAAAGAATCAGGGGGTTTATGCAGTGAGGACAGGCAGAATGAGCAGGGATTTTCCTGCTTTCACCCCTACCTTCCCTGAGCCTGGCTAAAATTAATTTTGCAAAATTAAGAAATGCAGAATTACTGCCCCTCCTCTCTCTGTCTCTCTCTCACTCCCTCTCTCTCTTTCTAAAGTTTGATTTATTTCTCTCAACAGCCAGAAAACTGTGCTGTTTGTGTAAATATCAATTACCAGGCTAGAGCAGGGTACCAGGAAAGGGCTGAACGTTCAGGAGTCCACAGGAGAGGCACAGAAGTTAAAGGCACCCTGTACCTATTAAAGCAGGGATTGTCAAGGTCAGGCAAGGAGTAGCAGAGAGCTGCTCTCCCTCTGAGGAGACTCAGCCTGAAGGTCAAAGGAATGTGTTGTCAAATGTAAAATGAGGATCTATCACTGCTCTGAGATGATGAGCACTTGTTTCCCAGGGCAAATTTATCAGACATCCATGTCTAATAAGCATATATTTTGCTTTTCCTTGTATAATGCAGCTTTTTGTCTCTGAGCTTGGTTTTTTTTTGGAAAATGAAATTAGTGTGATATTCAGCCCTTCATATAGGAGTCATATATGCCAATTGTTACTAACCCAAACAGTTCAAAGCTGACAGAAGTTTCAAGGTGAATCCTTCTCCCTCCCTGTGAAATCTGACCTCTCCCTCAGGAGTTCATTCCTTGAAGGAGAGCTGGATAAAGATTTAAATTTGAGCTCTACCACAAGCCCTGTCCTCCAGCTGGTTCAGGCTCTGAAATGCACAGGCAGACCCCAAATCAAAGAGACTGAAAGTGATGGGGACGTGGCATTTTTTGCTTCTGGTTTTTGCCATTCCCCTCTGCATTGTGGAATCCCACAGGGCTGGGATCCCTCTCTGCCCAGTGCTGCAAAAAAAAATAATAAAAAAAAAAAAAGATAAATCTACACCTGGAGATAGGATGAGATCAGGGAACATTGTAGAAGACATTCAGGTAGTTTTTTAAATCACATTAACAAATCCAGCATCCCTCTCCACAGCTGAAACCCAGGAGATGTGTGGCTAAACTCTGCCAGGCTTGCATGCCTGGGAATGCCTTGGAATTACAGAAGGTGTGAAAGGGATTTCCTGAGGCAGAGGAGGAAACTGTGTTATATTCCCCATTCTTTGCATCATGTAACCTCCTGTAGGCTGAGTTTTATTTGTTAAAAAGCTGGGTTTCAGGTCTTCTTACTGTGAAAGTGTTCTGCATCCTAATTTTGTGACGTGGGAAACACTCACATCACAAAATCTTCCACATTTATTTTATGGTCTTATGCTTCTAATGCTGCTGTTCTTTGGTTTCCAATAATATTTCTTCTTCTTTGAGGCTGACTTTAAAACATCAATAACACCATATCCCCACAGCTACCGAGTGTGCTTCTTCAAACTCTTCTCCAAGTGTATTACCTCCTGTTTTCTGTCCTAATTGTGTATTGCAACCTGTAAACATCAGGAATTCATCTTTACACTGGTTCTCATCTGAATTCTGACTCCCTGAGTGCACCCAGCCAGGGCTTTATTCCAGATTAAATCTTTGTTTGGCCTCAGTATTTCTGTTTTCCGGTTAAAAATGCTTTGTTCTTCAGACCTTGGACCAAATTTGCTGCTCCCAGCTGTGCTGAAGTGCTAATCAATAGTCTGTGGTGACAGGCAGTATTCAGCAGTCAGTCTCCCTCACTGCCACTTGAAATTAACAGCTACAAGATCTATATCAATAATTTTTCACACTCAAAAAGATGAATTTTGCATTCAGCATTAAATGTTACTTTTCCCACCCTTCCTTCTTCAAATATTTTAAATGCCCACTCTCCTCCCTTCAGTGCTGCTTAGTAAACCAAATGAAAATGTTATTTATCCTAAAGCCACAATTACTTTATAAGGTAAAATTAGTGGAAATATTAGATACATTGTACTGAAGGCAGTTCACTGGCCTTTTTTATATTTTTTTTCCATATCATTCAATTCCATGAAGTCCAAGCAAATGATATATCACATTCCTTAGCCTTATACATTTGTTTTTATTACATACCTGATATCAGATTACTCTGACTTTCTTTGGCAAATATCTGCTTAGCCTTATCCCTCTTTCTAGTGCTGACTCTATTCCTGTTGTTCAACAACTTTCCTTCAGAATTTGTTCTAAAGTCCTGTTTGCTGCTGAGGTCAGACTAATTAACTGGCTAATGGTTGAATTACTTTCTTTACACGAATTTGTTATTTTGCTGCTGTCCAGGAACACCCGGTGCTGTCCTAAAGTGACAGGTGAGGCCACAGCAGTGCCTGTAGGCCTGGGTACACCAATTTTCTGCCCCTCCATCAGTGTAAAATCTCATGACACGCCCCTCAAACTCAATAGTTGTCAACCAGAACAAAGAATGCTTCATAAATTGTTATTGTTCTGCAATTATACTTTGCTTTCATGGACACAGAGCTCTGCCTTTCAAGTGTCCACTCTCTGGAAAAGAGAGTTTTCTTTATTTTTACTAAGCACTTTCCCAGTGTCTAACACTGCAGTAGACACAGGTCTGTGTCTATGTTCTCTTTTAAATATTTCAGTTTTTCTCTGGAAATGATTTCCTGGTTTCATCAGCAGCTCTGCTCCTGCTGGCAGTGTCAGTTCCAGCTTCTGGTTCTCTCCTTGTTGGTTAATACAGGTAATTTGGACTACAACAGGTCACAACTTCAAAAACTGCAAGACAGTTTTACATCCCAACTTTTCGCGGTGTTTTCAGCTTATTTCCTCTGTCCCAATTGTTTTTAGTATATATTTTTTCCTCTCCTTTAGTTTTATTCCACTATGCACAAAATTCATAAATTTATAAAATTTGTATTTCTGTGAAAAGCTGCATTTTATGTCTTCTGTGGCTTTATTTTCTTTGCTGAAGCCTGTGGTGGATTTCATGGTTTTGGTCAGGCTGCTCTTTTATCCAGGCTGCTTGACTCTATCCCCTTCCTCTGGTAGTTTGTCATTTCAGTCTCATAACAAAAAAAAAAAAAAGCAAAAACAAAACAAAACAAAACAAAATAAAAAAAAACCAAAATAAAAACAAAAAGAAAAAAAGAAAACAAACAAACCAACAAAAAAAAAAACACAAAAAAAAAACCAAAAAAGAAACCCAAAACCACAAAAAAAACCCCAACCTAAATTACTTTCTAGCACTACACACTCTGTTAAAAAGTAATTCTTTGTTACAAGTTTTAAAATAGTTTCTGCCTAACAAAAAGAAAAAAAAAAAAAAAAAAAAAAAAACACCAAACTAAAAACCAAAAAAACCAAAACAGAAACCCCACACCCCAGAAAAACCCCGTGTGCCTTAGGGAGACACCAGTTTCACTCTCCAGAAAAAGCCACAACCATAAATGAAATAATCTGGTGAGTGTAAAAATGGGGCTGAAGTGTCCCCACACCACAAGAAAACAGCATTGCCCCCAGCACAGCAATGTAATTAGAAACTCAGATTTTTCTCCTGAATACCTGCAAAGCCCCTCTGACTTTTGAGAGAGGATGGCTCCTTTCAGTGCTCACTTTGTCCATCTCTCTGAGCTGCCCATGGTGCTGCTCTCTGACCAATTATCCAAAAAAAGACAGAGCTCCCCTCAGAGATAAGGGCACTCTCCTGGGTGTAGCTGCTCTGAAAAATAATCAGAGTTGACTAAGCCACCACAGTAATTCCTGAATTAATTACCTAAGGGGAACCAGAGCCTTTAATTTTATTCCAGTATGGTCAGGTTGTAGAAGCACAAGAAAAGGCAGAGATGGGAACACAAAGTTTGGTTCGTGGAGCATCAAATTTCACATTTTAGCTTTCCTCTGAATGTAATAAATTCATATTCATATTCATTTTGCTGTGTTTGAGGTGCAAGCATGCACCCCTTTGCCTATCAAGATCTCTGCACAGATTTATTTATACATACTAGAAAAATATTTCAACACTGAATGAGCAGAAAAATTTAAATGCTGCACCATTGGAGCAAACAAATAAACAAACAAACAACAAAAAAAACCCTAAGCACATACAAATTAGTTAAATCAATTAACCAATAGCAAAAGCAGGGGAAATCTTTGACCAATTTATTCTCCAGTTTTATTTACACTCCACTTCTTTTCCTTCAAGTCAAGTCAGCACCAACAGAGAGTAAGAATCTGAACAGAGTTTCTGGGCCAAGCAAAAACATGATAAAAGATTAAATGCATTGCTCATCTGACCTTTTACACTAATTCTTATCTGCTCAAGATAATCTTGATTATCTTCAAGCTTTTCTACTTTACT